TCAACAGCCAACATCGACAAAGCACCATAAATACAAGGGACGATGGAATGAGGTAGATACACAAAAAAATCATATTACAACTATTATAGTTTAATTATCTCTCTAAACCCCCACTAACTTGATCGATGGAGGGTCTATGGCCAGCATCACACCCGTGCCTAACTCAGCTGCCTTCATTTTCCAGGAAACTGTGTCGTACCAGGCCGTGGCAAATTTCAACCACAACATTTGGTTAATAGGTTGATTTAAATTGGATCAAGAGATGGCCAGATTAATTAATTTGTCCATTAGAGCCAATGAGAGCTTGGACCCAAATAAGATCCTCACTACTAAGTCCAATTTGAGTGTTAAATAAGAGAGAGTGAAATAAGTAGGGCATAAAGTGTGCTATGGGGCACTCCAAGAGAGTTTACTTTGGATAGGGCTAGAATCGACGAGTAGGGGTATGTTCAAGCTCGACTCGGTCAACTTACCATAGTGTTCAAGTTCGGCTCCAGTTAGCTTGACTTGAGCTTCTATATGAGTGCCCGAGCTCAGCTTGGTTATGTTTGGAACTGTTTGAGATTGGCTGATAAGACCAAAAACTAAGAACATAATCAGAGTTGTAGGTTTCTATTGTCTATGTGTATACCTGGTACAAGAAATAACCACCCATCTGCATCCAACTTCCAATCTTCAGCTTAATGTTTAACCATTCTTCCATCAAGTATGAGAGATACAAAAGAGGTGCGAGATTAGGGTGAACTACGATCGAGAGAGATAGAGAGAGAAAGGGCAAAAAAAAACCCGTATATTTTTAGCCATGGTAGCACCTTCACCGGTGATGCTGTTGCAGAGTTGCCACTGGTTTCTTCAAGGCCAGTGGTGTTGTTACAGAGTTGTGTAGGATTTATATGAATGGGCTGGAAAAATAGGGCTGGAAAGATTGGGCTGGAGTTTCTCTTTTTAAATGGGTTAATATTATAAACATTATTGAATTAGGTTGGGCTGAATTGGAATGGGCTCTACTTTTTAGTTAAAAATAAAAAAAGAATGGATCTAAACTACGGAGTATTGAATATATATGTGTGTGTATTCATGAGCCCAATAACGAGCATGTTCACAAATGTGTTCGCGAACTATCGAGCCAAGGTGAAGGGTGTTTGGGATTAGTTTGTTTCTTAATCAAACATCCAAATTTTGTTCGAGCTCAATTCGTTTATTAAATAAACAAACGCGAACTGAGCTTTTAGCAAACTGATGAGTCCGAACAATTTGCGAACAATTTAGCTCGTTTGTAACAATAGCTATGGGCATTCTAAGGCTTGTGGATACATGTGGGGTTATAAACCATAAGGCATCTTATCCTACATGAAAACTTCTCTCTATGTATGCATATACACTCTAAGCCTAAAGCCTACATACTCTCTCTTAAGACTGCCACAAGTCGTAGCTTAGAAAACTCACCATTGGGTCACAGTGGTGACATCTTTGGGCATAATTGAACCTTGTATGAGTAAGAAGGACCAAAGGAGATAGGAGATCAAAGGTGGTAGAGCTTGAAGGTCTAACTATCTACAAGGTGTTCAAGATTGGAAGACGGGAATCCTACTTCATCCCTTGAGGTATAAGACTCTAATTCCTTTGTTGTATGTCTCTACACATTTATACATGGTTTTGAAAAAGTTCCATGGCTCGCTCTACACAATTTAAGGTTTCCTTACTTCCCAAATGTTTTTAAAATCCATTTCCATCCAACTCCTAAACCCCAAGTATTATATGGCACAGAGTTACATAGTTCATCTAATGATTTAAAATTCAAAGAAAGATTTTGTTCACTAATTCAATGTATTTTTAGCATTTAATACCATTTTAATCAAGATAAGATTCAAAGATTGGTAGAAGAAGTTCATCACCTATAGAAGCAGAGGATCTTATACCGATTGTGAATCTTTGTTTAGAGGTTTAAACCACAAGGATGTTGTTCATGGTCCAGGGACATAAAAACTTTTCTATGGAGTGCTAAATTAATGGTAGTGATGTGAATATTGTTGAGCTTAACATTTTGAAATATTTACATTAGACTTGGAAATTAGAAGTAAAATTATCCGTGACATTTGGTTCAATTATATATATTTTGTGGCCATGATGATGCTAAATTACAATCAAAATTCATGACATACATGATTGACACTACAACAAATGGGGTTATTTTCGATGCCAAAAGGCATCGTAAAACCCCAAAATTAGTGTTAGAAAGGGTATTAACGACCCCAAATAGGGATCGCATCTTGTGTTAGCAATGGCACTGTCGCAAAAGCCATATCAAAAGGGGTCGGAAATAACCCTATTACTGAGACGCCATCCACCCACAATTCTTTTAACTCGTCTATCAACGGTCTTAAATACGCGTCAATGTCCTTTCCAGGTGATTTTAGACCGGGAATAAGCAACGGCATGAACACACATGGATCCCTCATCAATTTCCAAGGTGTTTCATTGTATGCTACAATAAAGACAGGCCACATGCTATTTGCATTGTTCATGTTACCAAATGGATTAAATCCATCAGCTCATAACCCTAATCGAATGTTTCAAGGGTCTTTTGCAAACCAAAAATGTTGATTATCAAATTCCTCCCAAACTCTAGAATCTACCAGATGTTTTAAAACAATCGTCTCCTTGAAACACTTTTCCTTATGCCACCACATATCTTTCGCAGTCTTTCTTGACATATGACAATCTTCAAAACCTTGGTTTTAAGGGAAAATATCGAAGAACCTTTTAAGGAACTTTTTTCCTCTTGCCTTCATAGAATTTATACCGAGATGCACCACATTTAGGACATTCTTCATTATGCTCATATTCCTTCCAAAATAGTACACAATCATGTTTACAGGCATGAATCATCTCATAGCCAAACCTAAATCATGCAATATTCTTTTAAGCTCGTAATGGGATTTTGGCAATGTCTCAACTTCTGGTAACAACTCTTTAAGAAACTCAAGTAACATAGTGAGCGACTTGTTAGTCCATCGAATAATAACTTTTAGATGGAGTAACTTAAGAATACAAGACAACTTTGTGAATTTTTGACAACCTGGATACACCTCTGTTGGACCAAGAAGGGGGGTTGGATTGGTCCTAGGTAGTTTCTTCCTTTTTCACTTGATTATGAACATGCATAACATAAAAGATAAAATCAACGCAAACAGTCAAATCACAAGGACACGAGATATACAAGGAAACCCGATCAATAGGGAAAAACCTTGGTTCTTGGCCTCAGCCAATAAATGCCTCCACTAGTAGTATGAACGTTGTTACACACTCAGTTGTCTCACTCTCTACACACACCTAGGCACAAGAATAGACACTAGTTTTCACAACTAATTCACACTCACTAGTTCACCATCTTCACTTGCTGCATACAAGTAGTTACTCACTCAGCTGCCCCACTTTCCAACCACCTTGTACTCACTAGGAAACTAAATTTCACTCCACCTACACACACATAAGATCAAACAATGTGCACACCGGCACTCCCCCAGTCCACAACCCCTATGCTTGGACACACAAAGCTCTCAATAGCTTGATCAACAATGGGGTGAGGATGTAAAGCCTCACTACCATGTACAATGAAGTGTCAACACACTAAATACAATTTACTTCGGCTACACCACAAGATAAATATGTAGAACTTAGCCTTGAATCAAAGAATACAGTGCAATCCTAGCTTCTCTCTTTTGCAATCAATAGGATAAATCTCCCTCAGCACAATGCAGCTTCACTTGAATATCATACTAGGTTCACATAGCCTTGAATTAGTCGAATACACTTGCCTGTAAGGATAGCACAAGTAGATAAGCAAGGTAGAACACAAGCAGCTCCCTCAAGGCAAAAACCCAAATTCAAGGGTAATGAAATAACTTCACTTTGCAGCTTCAGAACTGACCTGTACTTGTCACCCGCCGCTATTATATCTTCATACAACCCTGCTCAACAAGATTCACAGTGATTGGAGCAAGGTATCACAATGTCACTTCACAAAAGGCTTGATTTACAAATTTAAGGGTAGAATGGTCTCTTCATAATGTAGCCTTGGTTCAGCCCTATAAATGTCTTCCACAGCTTTATAATCTTAGCACACTTGCACAAATGAAAGATACATTAATCACAGCAAGATAACACAATGTCAGCCCCAAAACAGTTTGTGTTCAGCAAATAAACTTCAATAAGCATCAGCATAGATAATCAACAATGTAGCACCTTCATTCAGATCAAACCTCAGCAATCTCTACTCCCATGCTTTAGAACCAGCTCAAACTACACTCCCGCATTCTTCAACAGGCCAAATAAACTTGCTCAGTTGATTGGAACAAATTATAAAGCAAGGTATGACAATTATAGTGCAGAACAGGTTTGTTTTCACTTAAAACCAGAGCCTTAAAGAATGGAAAGGCTTTCTTCAATGAAGCTTCAAATTGACCTCAACCTGAATGAACTCAGTCTTCTTTTAGCAATATAAACTTGCTCAGTAATAGTCTTCAGCTCAATGTTTAACAGAACTCAGTATAGAACTTAAATATTCATAAAACTGGCTCGAAACAAATATATTATGCTTGGTCTATAACTGGGAGAAGATATACACACCAGGAAACAATAATACAGCACATACACAGTTGAAACTCAACAGATAACACTTGCTCAAGGTCCTATTTCAGAGATAATTACAAGATGTTAATAAATTAAAGTCCGAGATCAGTATGTAAATCAGTTTCAGCTACAGCACTGATAATGGGGCAGAAATGGAATTTCACAGCAACATCAACATAAGCTCTGCACCCTCAGTCATATTTTAGTTAAATATAAATGCTCAGATGATTATCACAGCATAGCTAGCATCATTGATCAAATTAGTTCACTTCATAATATAGAATGGTTATAGCTTTCTAAGTTCAGTTTCAACAGCATAAATCAGAAAACCAAAATTATCTAGAGGTTTGAGATATGATATTCAATACCAGCCTTAATATGTAGTCTCGAGCACCTTCAGCTGTTGTATATCACCAAAATATGTATGCTCAGCCCTTTGTTCAAGCTTCAGACACGACCCCAGCAACTTTGAATCACTTCAGCCACCTTTTGCATCAGAAAATCAGCACCAATCAGCCTCACTTCTCGTATCTGCAACTGTGCTTTCTTCAGGCAAATTTTTGAGATTCATTAGAGCTCAAACATCATGCAATATCTCAGAAATTGTTGTTCATTCTCAACTCACGAATAAAAGCTCTCACCGCAGCTGTAAACCTTGCTTTTTCACTCAAAGAGGCACACCTTGCTGAATGTTATAACAGCCCTTTTATATGCAACATAGAAAACCCTAGAGAGGATAAGATCAATCCTCCATTAGCCAATTAATTCATTGTACAGCCTTCTCTCTGCAGGACCACAATGCCACGTGGCAGTGGTATATTCCAAGCTCATTCACAGCTCACAAACACACATAGCAGACTTGTTTTTTAAATTCTTTTCCTTAAAGACAAAGCAAGGCTAATATCACACTTTCTCTGAAGGACCACTGTGCACGTGTCATTTGAATATTCATTGTACATCCTTGTGACCACCATTGTATATGGACTTCCAGAAATGCCCTTCAACTTGACACTTGTTGCTTAAACCAGACGTTGCTTGCTGCAGCCCATTTAGCCTTCAGCTCTCAGCCTTGTATTAAAATGCTTAAACCAGATGTTACTTGCTGCAGCCCATTTAGCCTTTAGCCTTCAGTAGATATATGGGAGAACTTTCCTGTAGCCTGTGCTGAACCATGAACTTGCTGAACCATGAACTTGCCGAACCTTTAGGTGCCGAACCCTGTATGTGCTGAACCTTTGAGTTCCGAACCCTGTATGTGCTGAACCATCTTATCAACAAGACACATGTTATAACACATTTAAAGTGCAAAACACTTGATCAACCGTGAATCAACAATCTCCACCTTTTGCACTTTCAAATGTTAAAAACCTATTAGTCCATTTCTCCCCCTTTTTGACATTGGAAGTCAAAAGGTAAATAGATGTCAAAATAAAGAGTTAAAGGCTAGAAACTTTTCAATTGGGAAGTATTAGAGGAGATGAGGTACAAACTTTGAAAAAAGATAGAAGAATTCTGAACAAGGAGCTACCAAATTGAACACCATACCTGCTGTAACAATTTTCACATCCTTGTCTCTGAGAGAAGGAGGCCTGAGATTGACCACCCTTGAGATTGGTAAACATAGAGAGTGATGTTTAAGGGCTTTAACAAATGTTGGTTGTCTGCAGCTCCAACTAAGAATAACCCTTGAAAGGACACAATGGATTGATTGAGCTGCAACATCCATCAATGCACCTTCAAGATCAATTTTCAGGTTCTTATCTCTCAGTGGAGGAGGTCTTGAAGGGATAAATAAACTTTATAAGCTTTGAGATTGAGACTCTATGTCTGACATTTTCATCTTCATCCAACTATGTTGAGAACAGGCTTGTGAAGGAATAGAAAGCTTGGTTGTAGAGGTAAGTGAAGAGTGATTTGATACCAGATTTGATTCAAAACAGTTTGCAGCACCCTTAGTTCCACACTGAATTTTGGATTCATTTAAGAGTTGAATTGCAAAATTATTGTCTTCTTCATCCTTTTCCTCTTCAAGGTACCTTAAATTTCTTTTGTTTCTGAATTTCAACTTTGATAGGCATATGGAGGCTTTGAGTTCTTGAACTTTTGAGAATTTAGCAAGTTTACCTATTCTTGAAGAACTTGTGGCTATGAGAACAATCATCTCCGAAGCTTGAAATCCACTTACTTTGATGTGACAACCAGTTTTTGAACTTGAAAAGCATGTGTTGATCCTGAACCTTGAATATATAGACTTTATCACTGAGCATGTCTGTTTTGATTTGATGAAGGGATTAGTGGAAGAGGGACTATAAATCTCTATGTGTTCAACATTAGGTGGTCTTCTCTTTAGAGGCTTAAAAACTGAATTGACAAAGTTTAGGACAGTTGGAAGATCTTTGTGAACAAGGACAGTTTCATCTTTAAGAGCTATTGACTGAGCCTATTTTAAACATTTTGTAACTTCACCCTTGTGAACACTATCAACTTCTTGAATCAATTTAAGAATATTCTTCTAGTCTTCTTGAGATTTCAATAAGCCTTCTTCAGAAGCATAAGAAGTGGAACACCACAGATGCAATTTTCTACATTTTTCAAGTCTTCTCAATGAGACTTTTGATCTGAAATCTGTTAGGTAGTAGGCTGCAAATGAGATGGAGTTCATGATAGATAAACTGGCTTTGAATTGATCAAAAGATACACTTCTTGAAAGTTGCCAATATGAATTATGTTTATCACCAACATCTTCAAGTGTAACATTCTCTGCTGTGGATATATCTTCACTCTTCATTTCAGCTTGTTGCTTCAATGATTTTTCAGGATTAGATTTCCATTTAGGGATCAGAGCTCTCTTTAGACAACTCAAACTAAAGTTTCCTTGAATTTTCATAGATGTAATCTGAGTATAGTTATTAAACTTCTCATATTTAGACATGTGAGCAATTATACTAAGAGCACTGGACAGTCCTTTATGACCTTTCTTTTTCTTAACCCTCTGCAACGTTGAGCCCCTTTTCTTATTGTTAAACTTCTGTAACCAGCTCCTTTCAAAGATCCATCTTCTAAATCTGTAATAGACCTCATTCCCAGATTGACTTTGCTTCTTGAGCCTGAGACTAAAGAGATTTTTTGCAATGTAATCAACCTCAGCACTAGAACCTTGTTTAGCCTTGCTTTTATCTGTCAAAAAGGTTGCAGCCCTCTCTTTAACAATGCTGTTTTTCCACAATACTTTCTTTGATCTGAGCTTCACTATGTTACAAATGACAAGTGAAAAAGAGATTAAGACTGAGAGCTTAGACTTGAAGTCTTCAACATGACACAAGATATACAAGGAAACCCTAACAATAGGGAAAAACCTTGGTTCTTGGCCTCAGCCAAAAAATGCCTCCACTAGTAGTATGAACCTTGTTACACACTTAACTGTCTCACTCTCTGCACACACCCAGGCACAAGAATAGACACTAGTTTTCGCAAGCAATTCACACTCACTAGTTCACCATCTTCACTTGCTGCATGCAAGTAATTACTCACTCAGTTGCCCCACTTTCCAACCACCTTGTACTCACTAAGACACTAACTTTCACTCCACCTACACACACACAAGATCAAACAATGTGCACACCGGCACTCCCCCAGTCCACAGCCCCTATGCTTGGACACATAAAGCTCTCAATAGCTTGATCAACAATGGGGTAAGGATGTAAAGCCTCACTACCATATATAATGAAGTGTCAACACACTAAATACAATTTACTTCGGCTGCACCACAAGATAAGAATGTAGAACTCAACCTTGAATCAAAGAATACAGTGCAATCCTAGCTTCTCTCTTCTGCAATCAATAAAATAAATCTCCCTCGGCACAATATAGCTTCACTTGAATATCAAACTAGGTTCACATAACCTTGAATTAGTCGAATACATTTGCTTGTAAGGATAGCACAAGTAGATAAGCAAGGTAAAACACAAACAACACTCTCAAGGTAAAATCCCAAATTCAAGGGTAATGAAATAACTTCACTCTGCAGCTTCAGAACTGACCTGCACTTGTCACCTGTAGCCTTGATATCTTCATACACCCTGCTCAACAAGATTCACAGTGATTGGAGCAAGGTATCACAATGTCACTTCACAAAAGGCTTGATTCACAAAATCAAGGGTAGAATGGTCTTTTCACAATGTAGCCTCGGTTCAGCCCTGTAAATGTCTTCCACTGCTTTATAATCTTAGCACACTTGCACAAATGAAATAAACATTAATCACAGCAAGATAACACAATGCCAGCCCCGAAACAGTTTGTGTTTAGCAAACAAACTTCAATAGGCAGCAGCACAAATACTCAACAATGTAGCCCCTACGTTCAGATCAAACCTCAACAATATCTACTCCCACGCTTCAGAACCTGCTCAAACTTCACTCCCCCATTCTTCAACAGGCCAAATAAACTTGCTCAATTGATTGGAACAAATTATAAAGCAAGGTATGACAATTATAGTGCAGAACAGGCTTATTTTCACTTAAAACCCGAGCCTTAAAGAATAGAAAGGCTTTCTTCAATGCAGCTTCAAATTGACCTCAACCTGAATGAACTCAGTCTTCTTTTAGCAATATAAACTTGCTCAGTGATAGTCTTCAGCTCAGTGTTCAACAGAACTCAATATAGAATTTAAATATTCATAAAACTGGCTCGGAATAAATATATTATGCTTGGTCTAACTGGGAGAAGATATGCATACCAAGAATCAACAATACAGCACACACACAGTTAAATCTCAATATATAACACCTGCTCAAGGTAATATTTCAGAGATAATTGCAAGGTGTAAATAAATTAAAGTCCGAGATCAATGTGTAAATCAGTTTCTGCTGCAGCACTGATAATGGGGCAGAAATGGAATTTCACAGCAACATCAACATAAGCCCTACACCCTAAGTCATATTTCAGCAAATTATAGATGCTCAGATGATTATCACAGCATAGCTAGCATCATTGATCAAATTAGTTCACTTCATAATATAGCATGGTTATAGCTTTCTAAGTTCAGTTTCAACAGCTTAAACCAGAAAACCAAGATTATCTAGAGGTTTGAGATATGATATTCAATACCAACCTTAATATGTGGTCTCAGGCACCTTCACCTGTTGTATATCACCAAAATATGTATGCTCAGCCCTTTGTTCAAGCTTTAGACACGACCCCAGCAACTTTGAATCACTTCAGCCACCTTTTGCATCAGAAAATCAGCACCAATCAGCCTCACTTCTCATATCTGCAACTGTACTTTCTTTAGGCAAATTTTTTAGATTCATTGGAGCTCAAACATCATGCAATATCTCAAAAATTGTTGTTCATTCTTAGCTCACGAATAAAACCTCTCACCACAGCTGCATACCTTGCTTTTTCACTCAAAGAGGCACACCTTGTTGAATGCTATAACAGCCCTTTTATATGCAACATAGAAAACCCTATAGAGGATAAGATCAATCCTCCATTAGCCAATGAATTCGCTGTACAGCCTTCTTTCTACAGGACCACAATGCCACGTGGCAGTGGTATATTCCAAGCTCATTCACAGGTCACAAATACATATAGCAGACTTGTTTTTGAAATTCTTTTCCTTAGAGACAAAGCAAGGCTGATATCACACTCTCTCTGAAAGACCACTGTGCACATGTCATTTGAATATTCATTGTACAGCCTTGTGACCACCATTGTATATGGACTCCCAAAAATGCCCTTTAACTTGACACTTGTTGCTTAAACCAGACGTTGCTTGCTGCAGCCCATTTAGCCTTCAGCCTTTAGCCTTCAGCCTTGTATTGAAATGCTTAAACCAGATGTTGCTTGCTATAGCCCATTTAGCCTTCAGCCTTCAATAGATATATGGGAGAACTTTCCTGCAACCTGTGCTAAACCATGAGCTTGCTGAACCATGAACTTGCCGAACCTTCAAGTGCTGAACCTTTAGGTGCCGAACCTTTAAGTGCCGAACCTTTAGGTGCCAAACCCTATATGTGCTAAACCATGTTAGTGCTGAACTTTTGAGTTCTGAACCCTGTATATGCTGAACCATCTTATCAACAAGACACATGTTATAACACATTTAAAGTGCAAAACACTTTATCAACCATGAATCAACAACCTCACATTATGAATTCTACAACAATCTCGCAAACCTATATGCACCTCCTTCCCCCTCACCTTCAGGGATATTAAGTGGTCTGTTATTATGTTGAATATATTCTTGTTTAATATTCATGTATTCTCCAATCTGTATGTCTTCCAAGTATTCATGCACCTCGTCAGCATTTCCACTTTGGTCTTCTATATCATTAACACCAAGCTCGACTTGATCATTTTTTGAGTTTTGAACACTCTCTCCATGATATATCCAAGCCGTGTATTGTTTGTACATTTCATACTTGTATAAATGATCCTCCACTTCTTTCAGTTGCCTTACTACTTTGTTTTTACAACTACGACATGGACAGTGCGCTCTATTTAAACCATCCAGATGACCACTCACAAACTGAATGAAATCTTCTATTCCTTTCAAGTACAGTGGATGAACCCTAGTTAGAATCTGCATCCAACTCTTATCCATCTAAATACACATAGAACAATATATTAATTAATCAAGCCATAAACCAACAGACAAATTGCCTCAAAATGTGTTTGCTTGGGAAGATTTAAAACTGGCTAATATTTTCAATAGTATGCAAGCACCATAGAGCAGTTTATGTTCAACATCAAATCATATATGCTAATATTCTCTGTCACTAGTGAGAGTTTTTCACTGAGGTAAGTATGTAAGAATATGGACTTTTCTAATTTATTTTCACTCAGTGTCAATTAACAGAAGAAATGACTGAAATAACAAATACCGGATAAAACAAAAATGCTCTGATGTTGTAAATATCTGATTAAGTATTACGTCAATAAGATACATGTAATGACAACTAGTAATTCTACTCGATAGCAATGCTCACATAAATTTTGTTGAATTATAATTAACACAAAATTTGATTTAAAATTACATTGGAATTCCATTTTTTTTAAATAATTACAAAACTATCAGTCATGTTTTGAAAGTGTCCCAAAAGTATATTCAAATTATACAACTTGCAGCAGTATTGAACATGTGTCCCACGAGTGTGTTGGATATGGTTGCAACACTCTGTGCTTCAAAGGTTTTATCAAGCAACCATTTAGAAAAAAAGGGGATGATCAAATTGCAGCTCGATAACTTTACATAGAATTCATTTTTTGTCAATCTAACCACCAGATTATATTGCTTTATCATGTTCTTCAAGCATGCCAAATAACATATTATTAGAAACATACTCTAAAATAAAGTGCGATGTTGATGAGCCAGCCCTAAATTTCTGATTAATTTGATTTTTATAGCCTTATCATGTTCTGCAAGAATGCCAAATAACGTATTATTAGAGACAAATTAACTCTAAAGTAAAGTGTGATGTTGATGAGGTAGTCCTAAATTTCATGATCTGATTAATTTGATTTTTAATATGCAAAAAGGAAATTCAATTCAAAAAGTGTTGGAAAAGATGAAAACATGATAATTTATTGACAGGTATAAGATTTTTATTCTAATATATATAGGTAGTGCATACTGCCCAATCAGGCCCTACACAACCGATAGTTCTGCTAACTTAGGGACTACTAGATAATCATCAGCTCTGCATTAGAAGAGATGTCAAACAGAGAGGCAAAAACAGGGAGAGAGAGAAAATCGAAGGGAGATAAGATCTGAGATGCACCATAGAGATGAACCATCACATCTAAAAGCCTTGAAGACCAAAATTGAAGCAAAAAAATTCACAAAGTCTTCTAATAAATTCACCAACACACATAAATTTTATAAAACTGAAGAGAGAATGATACTACAAACTCACCGTTTCAGCTGCTAGATCGCAAATGATGAAGTGCTTGATGAAAATAAAGCAAATAATCGAGGACGAAGAGTGCAAATGATCGTTGATAAAATGCTTGATGAACAGAATGCAAATGATTGACGATTGAAATGCTTCGATTGACAATTGAAATGCTTGATGAACAAATTGCGAGCTGAACAAAATGCGAGCTAAACTGGAGTAAAAGAAATTTGGGGAAAATGGTGTGGTTCATCGGCGACCCCAAAGCACAAGACAGCGTTTGGATAAGAGTCCAAATTAACATGTTTGAAAAATAATAATAATAATAGATCCAACTCTATACGGTGTCGTTTAGATTTTTCCAACCTCCCTTAACGTCGGAAAAAACCAATTTTACCCGACGTTTTGTCCCAAAAAATAAAGGCTGGGCCCAAAAAAAAAAAAAAGGCCGGGGAGGTGAATAAAAAGGGAGTGAAAAATGTATTTCCGACCCCTACCAGTAGGCGTCGGAATTGACCCCTTATATCTTACGCCAAAAATTTGAAGTCACCAAAAGAGGGAATTTTTCGACTAATATCTAGGCGTCAGAAAATAGTGGCGTCCCAACAGCCACCTTTTGTTGTAGTGTGAGATGCTAAGATGGTTTGGGGTTGTTAATGTTTCTTCAACAATAGTGTCATAAAATAGAGGGAATAGATTAATGATTAATCCACAATATATCCAACTTCAATGTAGAATATATATATACTATGTTGATCGAGACTTAAAAATTGAAGGGAAAAAACAGAAGGTAAATGCTTTTATAAAACTAAAGTACTTAATTTGTTCGAATTCCTAGTACAAATAAAAAGGAAACTTAATGCTAATTAATTAAGATCCTGATATGCATGAACATCTTTAATTTAATGGAAGTCACATCTGGAATGATTTCTTGATATCATTAGCGAAGGCTGCGAGATTGGCCAGTGCTCTTGACCTAGCCTCCTTTCCCACGAGCCTCTCGTTTAGTCTCATTAGTGTGTGTTTCATTTCATTGTCCTCCACAACCCTCTTCAAACTTTCTTCCACCTCTTTCTGTCCAAACTCACTGATCCTTGCCCCAATTCGCCATACCTTAACAATATAGGCACAATTAATGAACTGGTCACCTGCAACTGGATAACACACAAGGCGCTTCTTGCATTGTATGGCCTCCATCGTGGAATTCCACCCACAGTGAGTGAGATAACATCCCACGGCCTTATGCTGCAACACCCGAATCTGAGGAGCCCATGAAACCACTTTTCCTTGTCTCCAAACTCGATCCAAAAACCCTAACGGTAACCCTTCACAGCATGCAGAGCCTAGTACCCAAAGGAATGGTCGCCTTGATGCCTCGAGTGCCAATGCTAAATTCTTCACCTTCCTCTCCCCAATAGGGCTAACCCAGCTCCCAAACGAGACGTACACAACTGATCCAGGACTTTGCATGTCTAGCCAATCTAAGCAGCTCATATCTTCTGCCCAAAAGCTAGCATTCTTACTCAATGCAAGTTTGTTATCCTCCATTAATGGTCCAACTGGAAAAACACGCGTATAATCTTGAGAACCGTCAGTGATGATCAACTGATCATTCTGTTGATTGTTATCATGTAATTCATCTGGAATGGAATTCACAAGGAGCCAACGAAGCGTTCTCAATCTATTTAAGGTCCTGATCCAAAATTTGAACCTTGAGCTTCTTTCAGTAATAGTGCCAATCAACCATGGTAGATCTTCTGTGCTTAGAACAGGTTGACCTGGTAGGAATATAGCTCCTTGCTCTTTTGGATTACCTGTCAAAATTACCATCTCTTAATGCGCGTGTGTATAAATATATGCTAATTATTGGTTAAGTTGACTAAACTCAAGAACATATTAATAATTTTGTCACAATGCTGATCAATATCATACTTTAAGTAATTATATTTCGGGATTTATACTTCGATTTCTTGACAAGGCTGGCTATTTTTTTTTTTTTTTTTTATTGGCATCAGGAACTCGTCTAGGCAGGGCCCCTTCAGGACCCACCCTAGACTACAAACCTGGGGATGTTGTTGACGGCTCCACATCTCAGCACCAATTTCAGTCAGGAAATATAATGGGAATGGACGGGCTCAAACCTGGGACATGTGACACCCCAGACCGTTGCCTTATCAACTCTACCAAGCCACGGGGGCAAGGCTGGCTATATTACTTTTAACAATGATGTTCATTTCTTGATAGTTGACCTCTATAAACAGATTTTCGATCTTATATTCATATTTCTCTTGGATCTAGTCACTGTTAGAAAAACATGCACTACAAGTCTACAAATATGTTTGGGAGCTTTGAATCCAAGGATAAATAAAAATTGATTTCATGGTCCAAAACTCAATGTACACCTTCTTTGTTTAGATACCTAAACGATGACATAACACATTATTATTATTATTATTATTATTAATAGTAGTATTTTTATCATGGTAATAAATAACAAATTAATACTCCCTTCGTCCCATTTTAAATGTTCACTTTGAGAACTGACTTGCAATAATTTAAAATGGGACGAAAGGAGTATTAATTTGTTATTTATTGTAAGTCACAGTTTTCGAATTGAACATTTAAAATGGGACAGAAGTAATATATATATATATATATATATATATATATATATATATGGATAAAGTGAAAAAAAAAAACCCTTAAACTATTGCCCTTTTGCAACTAACTCCCCTAAACTAAAAACTGCCTCCCTAAACTATTAATTTGTTGCAATTAAGGACAAATCCATCGCAAAAGACTATTTTATCCTTTCTCATTAAATTTGTCATTTCTTATTAAATTATTTTTATTATATTTTTTCTTATCTAAATATTAATTATACTTTTTACCTTAATTTTATTATTAGTATCAATTTATCATAGAAATAAAAATAAATAAATAGATTTGTAACCACCATTTTCTAAAAATGATTAACTTATTATTAAAATTTTATTATTTATAATAAAATTTATTATACCCAGTTTAAAAAAAAAAAATACAGTAGAAAAATACCTTCTTTTTCATATAATATATGCATAAAAATTTAATAAATCACTTAAATAAAAAATACCTTCATTTTAATGTAATATACATAGTATATATGAAAAATTAAGAAATTAATTAAATTGTTTTAAAATTTTCTACTTAAGATTTTTATTTAAACAATTAATTTCAAAAATTAAAGGTAAAATTGTGCAAATTAAATGGAGAATATGTCATCAAATTAGTATGAATTTTTTTCATAATTTATTTCAAAAAAAAAAAAAAAAAAGATTAAGTGTGATTCAATAAAAAAGGGCACTATGGTCATTTAATGAAATATAGTTTAGGTATTAGGGTATTTTGTAACAAAATGTGATAGTTTAAGAGGTATTATGTACAAAATATAGGTTATTAGCAAATTCGAATATAATTGAGTGATTTTTTTATTATATGCACTTTACTCTATATATATAAATATATATATACATACATGTGAGTGGTACACACGTGAGTGGGGAGAGAGAATGAGAGGAATTACCTGTTTGAGAAATAATGCCAGTGCGAATCATGACAGGTATTGCAGCAATGAGTCGATAGGTAGCGAGCATGGCAGGCCAGAATCCAGCAACTTGGACCCCACATTTATCGGCGACGTCGATGGCCCATGACGCCAATACATCCACAACCATACATACTCTTCCATCAACATCACCAAGAAACTCACGAACGACGCGCTCTAAATGCAGTGGCATGTTGTTCTCCATAGCCATCTCAATGGCGAAGAAATCACGGACCGTGTCTTCTTCCAAACCGTCTGGTATGGAAATGCATGAAATCTCCTTGACCTGGTTCGCAATACGACTGTGAATAAACTCTGGAGTCACCACCACTGGCTCAAATCCATGGTTAAGCAAGGCTGAAGCTAACTTAAGCATGGGAGTCACATGTCCTTGTGCTGGATATGGAACCAGAATCATCTTATTACCCCTTTTCAGGCTCTTCATTTTTCTCTCACCCAACCTATATATTACTCAAACTGCAAATTTATATCCTCAACTTATAAATGCTCATCTAAATGATAGATATCATATGTATGCATGTATGAAGGAATAGAGAGAGAGAGAGTCAACTAAGCATGTGGGTTGGGATTTGTAATGTGATTTGTGACATTGGCTGACAAATATGGCTAAATCCTTCTGCGACAAAATTTTTATAGACGGAGAGTTAAAGCTAAGTTTGGGGTAGTTAAATCGGGCTTACCAATAGCGAAGCAGTCAACTAAGGAAAAAAAATAAAATAGCAAAGCAGTCCTCCTTTGGTATTATGCCACCAAAGTGTCCAAAGTGTGTGTGAAATCATAGTCAAATAAGAATGGGGCAAGTTTGACTTATGGACACGAATTTAATGTGTGTTTTAGACACGTGAACTGTTTGTTATATATAGGTGATGCCATTAATTTCATGTTCCGTGGACAAAACTTTTTGCATATTTTTAAATAAATCTCCGACCAACTACTGGGGCTGAAAGAGGTTTTTTTTATAAAAAAAAAAATATTATTTATTAATTAGGGTTGTCATTTTGAATAAGAAACATTGACCATTATGCATGTTGCTATAGTAGAAGAGGAAAAAGATCTATTTCATTCCTTAAATTGATGACCACAACTTCTCTCTTTCTAATTGGAAAGTGATAAATAATATGATAGCGGGACAGATTTGATCCCGTTTCATTCCTTAAATTGATGACCACTTCTCTCTCTCTCTCTCTCTCTCTCTCTCTCTCTCTGAAAAAAGATAAATTATACTATAGTGGGACAAATTGGACTCTTTCATGTGAGTGATAATGTAACGATCCAAACACGGTCCGGGTCATTATCGGGGTTCTTAATTGAACTCAAGGTCATTGAAGGGTATTACGGTCATTTTTAATGTCAAAACATAATTAATACATCATTCTATGCTTTGAAGTACCCTACGACATCGTCAAATGGGTCGGGATTTGTGATGATCCCGTCATTTTTTTTTCCCACATTTTTATTTTTATTTTTTATTATTATTATTTATTTTATTTTATTATTTAATTTTTATTTCATTTCTTGTTACCTCAAGGATTTGGAGGACCCGAGGTAGGGTTTGGTGTCCGGGACAAATTTCCAACACTTCATGCAGTTAATTTAGTTTATTTTATTATTAATGCATAGTTTAATCGTGTAGCAAAGTATGCTTATTTTATTATGTTTCCGTAGGGGTATATGTGTTTTATTTTTTCGGGGACATTTTCATTTTTGGGGGTCATTGTGCGATTATCTTTTGGAGATATTTTGTCTAGGGACCTTTGTGCAATTATTTTTTTGGAGATATTTAGGAGAGGGACTTTTGTGCAATTTGAAAAAAGTTAAGACAAATGTCTCTTTTTCATTGGGCCATGTGTTGCCACTTGGTTGGTGACATGTGGAGGGCTTGGATGATGCCAAATGTAAGGTTGATTAAATGTTTTGTGGGGAGGCTTGTGATTGTGACAAGTGGAGGGCTTAGATGGTTATGTGTGTGTGAGAGATAGTGCTAGCCATATTAAAGTGATGTACATCACTTTTTGCCTTACACCTTTTTGTTGTAACTTTATTTTCTTCCTCTCATTTCTTCTCTCTACCCTCAATTGTTGTAAAACCTTAGAGCTTAGTTCTACCTACCTTCCACTCACATTTTGGCTTCACCATTGAAGGATAAAAGCTTCCTTACACCTTGGACTATAAATCCCTTCCTTTAGATTTCTCATTTGCACATATTTTCCTTGGATTCTAAAGAGGCTTTCTCTAGTAAGGTAGGGGGTGTAATATATTTATAACCTTTCAAATTCCTTGTGTTTTGGAGTTTGCCATACGTTGTATGCATGTTGTGTGAGTTATAGAAGGGTTATTGTGAATTGTTTCATGAATTAGGCTTCTAAGTTATTTCAAAGCATGTATATATGTATATATATGTTGTCTTGTAGGCTTATTAGTAAATTGGTAGAAGGTTACATTATCACTAATTTTCTTGAAATATAATTGTTATATTCTTAAATACCTTTTGCCATTATAAATTGCTAAAGGCTTCCATAGTACTTATATGGTTGGTAGTTAAGTATTTAAGACTTAAAATGCTAGCGCATATATATATAAATGACTTGTTGATATCATGTCATAGTTAGTCTTGAGGAGTTAGGACATGGAGTGCTTGATTTTATTATCTTATGTGTGCATGGAAGGTGAAAGTTGTGTATTTTATAAATATGATTATTTTGTGACATTATTGTTGATTTTGGGAAACACTTAGGGCACCGTTACTTTGATAGCTAGAGTTTGGCTCTAGTGAGGGAGGTATGAGTTCTCCCTAATTATAGTGGCCACTTGGATAGTTCCTGGCGGGTTAGTATCCCCGAAATAGCTGATTTTGTCTGGGTTGTGTTTCATGACCGGATGTTGTTGTCCAAGATATTCCTATTATGTGATTTCGTAATTCAATTCCAAGTTGACAATCTTATGTAATTGTAGCTTGTGGTTTTGGTATTGGATGTTCCAATTTGGTTAAGTGTATTATCATGATGTGGATTCTATTTACAATGCTCCGATGTTAGTTCTAGGATAATCCTTTAGCTTCACCTTCGATCTAGACGTTAAGAGGCATATTCCACATGTTATGATTTATGTTAGAGTTGCAAAGCCATTGAAACATTAGGTTATCCTCATAATGCATTTTCCTACGAAGTAATTCAAATTACTCACCCTAGTCGATTTAATGTTTTTCAAGCAAGGATGTACTCTTCTTGGATGCACATCATCCTTAGCTCGGATTTACGTTTATGTTTTAGGACATCTTTTGGTTTATGCTCACATACAAAGTGTTTAGCATATTGTGTGCAACTTTTAGGATAAAAACTTGTTATGTGTAATATGTTTAGTATTATATCTCTTTTGAAAGGGGAAATGGAATTGGGACTAGTAAACCTCTTGGTTGAGTCCCAAGGTCATTTATGCCCTAGTGCATCTTTTATGTAACCTTGGATTTCATGTAATGAGGCCTTAGAGCCATCTTTTGCAAATTGTATTCATTTGGGTTAAATTGCACACTTATGTATGTTCCACACACTTTCAAATGATTATCCATGTTTTGGGAGCTTGTACAACACTTTAGGATGCTTAGGAACCTATTTTGGATCACTTAGAATGCATGTGTAGGGATAAAAAAATGGACCAAGACCAGATTGCACATTCTGCAGTTCTCGTTTTTTCTACTCCCATGATGTTTTGGTTGGCTGGTAACATATGCCAGCCGGCTGACAGGCCATATTTGGCTCGGGCAGTGAGTTTGCTTGCTGGAAAGCACGTTTCGCCAGGCTGACAAAGTTTGTCGACCGACTGATGGTGTGGTTTCGATAGGCTAATCCTCACCATCAGCCGACTGACCCTTCCTGGAACCCACCTTTTTCAGTTTTTGGGATAGCTTTATTGCATAGTCTTTGAACAACCATATCTCATTCATTTATAATCTAAATTAGGTCATTCTTGAGTCCATTTTCAAGGTCTTGAAGTCAGTTTTCCAATGATACCAACTCCATATAGAAACTCCAACCGTAATGAAAGTTATGATTGTTTTAGTAAGACATGGTTGTGATATCTCTTAACCAAAGAATGCCGTTTTGCGTCATCTTTTTCGGTAGGGTCTAAAACCTTGTTGAATGTTCATATATGGTTAGTATATCATATATAACCTTTGTTGGCACTCTTTTTAGTCACATTATCCATGTAGGTTGATGTGGTCTTTTGCCTCCACTTTTCAGACTCGTTATCGAGTCGATTTTGGTCTCTTTCAGTTGATTGGGCTGGGCTTATGAATGGTTACACCTGGTGTGAACCAGTACATCCAAGGGTTGCACCTGGTGTGTGAACCAGTGCACTCCATTTGAATACGTGCCTTTGGTGTTAGTTCAAGTTGAACCATTGTGTCCCATGGCTTTTCGGGTCATTTGAAAAAGGCACCTATATGCCTATAAATACTCCCCCTTGAGTCATTTGCAAATCACACCAAAACTCGGAAATCTTCTTCTCTAATTCTGAGTTTTCCTCTCTTCTTTTCTTCTCTCATATTTGCATACACAGTGTTAGTGTGTCAGTTTGAGTCTGGTTTAGAGAGAGAGTACTTCAGTACTTCACCGAGCCAGTTCGCCCATTTCTCCAGTTTGTAGTGCTGTTACCGAAAAAAGAAAGGTCATTGTATCCTGGGAGATAGATACCACTGAGTCCGTCAGCGCCATAACGGGACAAATCTGTCTTAAGGAGATCGAATCCAATTCTAGACTCGACCGATTAACAGGTTCTTTTATATAGTTTTATTTTATTAGAAAATTATATATTTATATATATATATATAATATATATATTATATTTTCACATAATATTTAATATAGTTTTATTTTATTATATATACACTAGCTTTCAGCAAATCATAAGTAATAGGAAGACCTCCTCTTCATGGTTTCACAATTAGCACCCCTGGTGGCACTATTATCCTTAATAAGAGATATAAAATTCTATATGAATCTGGCCTTCATGTTGAGGAATTTAACTCACCATTAGAGATGCCTGAAAATCATTCAGACCTTCCAAGACTGGAACATATTGGTATCATACAATTTGGTTTAGAGGATGCATTCTAAAATACTCCGTTTTATGGCTTGTATGTAACTAGGAGCAAACTCCAAACTCAGGTTATAGTACAAATCTGGAGGGGCTTCATCTTTTTTTTTTTTTTTTTTTTGGTAGATCAGTTACTGAGATTTTCATCACCACTTTCTGACTCAGCTCACTTCCAGAATCTGGTTATCGATAAATTCTAAGGATGCCATCTGTCAGCATATTCTTCATGCTAAGGATTGATTGCTTGGGCTTAAGGATGGCAATTTGACCCGCTCCAACAGTTACCCGCCCCGCCCCGCCCAATTTTTGGCAATTTTGGAGGACTATTTAACTTATTTGGACAGCAATGATTTGATGTAATAGAAACCTGCGCGAGTTTAGTGCGGGGGCGGGGGGAGGTCGCTCTGTTTAAATAGACAAATTACTTAAGCCCTTATTTCATTAGTATATACATTTCTTATCCTATACAACAATATTAAAGTAATAAATAAATTTAATTAGAAAAAAGTTGCAATGGCAAAAAACTAAAGATGAGGGAGAAAAAAAAAATGCAAATCTATTTCAATAAAATAAATTATGGTCTTAAACGGGACGGAACCGGTACCCGCGGAATAAAAATGTTAAACGGTTGCGAGAATGGGGTAAAAAATCTCCCCGCTTTTGCGGTTCTGAACGGAGATGGGGGCGGAGTTTTTAAACGGTTGCGGGGACAAGGGAGGGTACACCCGCCCAAACCCGCCCTGTTGCCATCCCTACTTGGGCTGCTGTCAACGTAAGAAATAATTTATCTGCAATACAGAAATAACGAACTCCTACCTGCTACTACTTTACCATATATGGATAGAAACACAACAGGCTCCATTCAGAAAAAATATTATGGAGGGCTGTTAAGACTGAAGATATCTTCCAGTTCTAAAGTTAAAATGGCAGACAAACAAGTGGCTTCAGAGACAATGGCATGTCCATGGCTATTTTCCTCTATGGTTTTTCTTTTATGAAATTTTGTTTGAGTTAGTTCATACCTAGAGGGGTATGTCTGTTTTCACTTTGTACGTTTGTTTATATTTATAAAATTACTTGCCAATAAAAATAGAGCCCAAAGCATGCAAAGGAAAACAAAATACAGGTTTTCATTTACAAAATAAATTTACTTAAATTTGGAGGATGTTTTGGGTACACAGAGTTGTTGAACAAAGTTGATGGTACATTATGAACTCAATGACCAGTAGATGCAAGCTCTAAAAAAGCCAATGCTTTCTTTTGGGTGCTCTAGTAGGAATTTCTGTATAAAATCAGTAAAACAATAGGAAGTTAGATTTCTAATTTTGCACATAAATAACTGAAAGGAAAAACAAATGAGCAAATTTAACAGCAAAAGAGAATTAGCAGCAGCAGGATTTATCACCTCCGCGTTCATACAATGAATTATAATGTACTTCACTCCAAAAGCTCAGCCATAATTCTGGAGAAACGAGAGAACGGTTAAACAAATATAGCAAAAAAAATAGGGTAGGGAAAAAAATTATAATTGAGAAACCCCCCTCTACTAATGTATTTTAATTAAAAAGTAAAATACGTGTAATTGGCTTAACTCCTAATGAGAGTAGCCACTCTTTATATATATATACAAAAAGGAGTACATCAAGGGAAGAAAAATAAGGAAACATCAATCCTTAACGTAAGGAAAGAAAATAAGGAAACGAAAAATAATGAAAGAAAAATAAAGTCAAATTTCCTACACTCCCCCTCAAGCTGGAGCAAAGATATCAACCAAGCCCAGCTTGGGTATAGACAACTTTAGTATGGATGGTCCCACTGATTTTGTAAACATATCTGCAGTTTGCTCTGACAAAGGAACAAAAAATGGAACAATAATGCTTGACCGAACCTTCTCCCGAATGAAGTGATTATCAACTTCTATATGCTTTGACCTTTCATGAAGAACAAAATCTGAAGCAAGCATAATCGCAGATTTATTGTCACAAAATAATTTAGATGAATCTTTGACAGGTATACCCAACTTGGCGAGAATAGATCAAAGCCAAAGGAGCTCACATGTACCCAGAATTGATCATTTAGAGAAAAACTGTCATTTAAGCATCATAAAGCATGTTTCCAAGCCTAAGACTAAGGAGGAGTGGGTTGTTAAATCTAAAGGCAAGCTAGTTGTTGTTGAAGATGAATCAAATGCAAAGCTTACCGTCCCTCAAGCCTCAGATTCCATGGATAATGCAGAGCATACGATCACTAAAACCTCAGAACATGAGGTAGAAAATTTTGATGGATTCATTACTCAATCTCATTCTAAGCACAAATCAAGAGCTAAGGGTAAGGGGGTTGTCACACAAAAGCAGGTGTTATCCACAAACGCATTTGCAGTTCTCGACGAAATCCTGACTCAAGTTTAGCAATTAATCAAGATGATTGTCAGCAGGCCACTGAGATTTCTGAAGTGACGGAAAATGATAATGTTCCCTTGAAGACTTTATTAGCATCTGGAGGTAAAAAGAAGGGAAAAAACAAAAAGAATGGAGTGACGATTTCTGACACAGTCACAAGAACTAAAGTTCAGTTTGGTAATATTTCAGGCCTGAAGATGAGTAAAGAGAAAAGTTCTGTTTTCTTTTCTAGATCAGTAAGAAGAAAGGCTAGCATTTTGAGGATCATGCAGTTTAAAGGTCTTCTTCCAGTTTCTTACTTGGGGTTGCCTTTGGTGGATGGTAGATTAAGGAAATCTCACTGATCAGCCTTATTAGACAAAATCAATGCACAATTTTCTGCTTGGAACTCCTTCAACCACTCAATTGCAGGTAAAGTGGAGCTCATCAGATCATTTATTTCCTCCCACTATTATTTCTGGGCTGCAGTCTTTTCCATCCCTATAGGAGATCAAGATGAAATTGAGAAAAGGGTTCGAAATTTCTTATGGGGAGGTAAACATGAAAAAAATAAAATTCCTCTTTTAGCTTGGAACAGCACCACACTGCGTAAATCAGAGGGAGGTCTGGGGTTAAGAAGTTTCGGAAGTATTAATCTGTCTTGCTCCTGTCTTTTGTCTTGGCAGTTCATTCATCATTGTATCTAAGGAAGCTTTGTGGATTAAATGGTTTAGGGATAAATATTCGAAGAATTCTTCTTTCTGGACATTAAATGCCAGAGCTACAGATTCAATTTTTTTGGAAATCAATTCTGGATAACAGAGACCATTTGCTCCAGCATCTAAATTTCTCTATTGGTGATGGCCAGAGCTTCAAATTATTCACTGATCCATGGTTTAATGGTCTAACATTGCAGCAGAAATTTGGACTCAGAAGTTTGCTCTCTGCAAGATTTAATTATACTGACAAGCTAGCAGTGCTGAAGTCTCATTCTGGATGGCATATTCCTGAAAACTGGCCTGTTGAAACTGGCCAGTTCTTTAGGAATTTGCCTATCTCTAAGCCTACTGATTCAATTACATGGAAACATGGTAAGATCTCTTTTAAATCAATGTGGAGGGCGCGTAGAGATCAGAGTATCAGGGTGCATTGGCACAAGTAAGTGTGGAATCAAGGCCGACCTAGAATTCAATTGCAGGCTGCTTTAATTCTCCTCAACTCTTTCCCTTCCTATTATAACCTCAGAAAGAGGGGTTTTATAGGTCCAGCCATTTGCCATAACTGTTATGCAAATGCTGACACCAGAGATCATCTATTTTGGTGTTGTCCATATGCTAATCAGGTGTGGCAGTGGTTATCTCACTTATGTCATTGGGACGCTCTTTTACAGATGCAGCACTTCTCAGATGTAGTGGACTGGTTTATCACTCAAACTAAAGGAGAAACTGTGAAATGCAGACTGGTTAGGATATTGTTTACAGCAACATTGTGGTGCATTTCGGGTGAAAGAAATATAAGGGTTCATGGTGGTATCACAAGCACACGACATCAACTAAGAAAGAAAGCATGTATTGAAGGTCTAGATGCAGTTGGATTGTATCTTTCTGATCTAGCACACCTTTTTTGATTCTGCTGCTGGTTGTCTGTCATCTTACTCATCCTATTCAATAGAGTGTTTTTCTTTTCTTTGATGTATTTTGATTATTGGTCTTGGGGTATGCCCCAAACTGGTTTTTTGGTTGTTTTCTTTATTATTCTCTCCTTGTGATCTGAAATAGATCACCATTTCCTTTTGTACTTTATTGACTATTTGTATTAATAAAATGAAACATATTCAGGAAAAAAAAAACTGGAAACATAACTTTATGGCATCATTTGGCACAAATTGGCTACTGTAAACCTTCATTTGTTTTGACCAGAAATATTTTTCCTGTTTTTGGGTGTTTGGTTCTACGAGAGTTGAATAAAACATTTTACTTGAACAAATGTACATCATTTTTAACAAAAAAGACTTGTGGATCCAATATCAGAAAGTCAATTTACGCTTCTAGCATTCCAATACATAACAGACCTAATGAGGCTCAAGACATTCTGAAAATCAGAAGAATAGGGGAGAGAGAGAGAGAGAGAGAGAGAGAATCACCTGTTCCAGACTATGTTATCCGTACACGTGTAACTTTATCCAGTGCGGGTATGTCTGTAAGTGTCTGATTTTCTAAAATCCAAATCTTAAGATACCCGATATGTGTCCAAAAGTTGGATATGTGATTGTAGACAAATACTAAATATTTAAATACATTAAATATTTTATTTAGTGTAACGTTCAATATTATTGTTTCATAAGAATATACTCTATTATTACTCAAATTGGTAAAAGAGAAGGGTTTCCATCTATTTTGTATATAAGTAACCTACTCTAATATTAAATTTGAGTTTATTCTTCTTCAATCATGCCATTTGAAGGATCAGTGTCTGATTTTGGTCCTTGTGCCAAGCACATATCCACTATTCATATCCATGCCGTGTCGACATGGGTACATGAAGGTAAATAGGAGAGTTCATGTAACTAAGGTTCCAGAGAGAGTTACCTATCATGAAACAAATCTAATGAGACTCATCTGTTTCATAGATTCTACAAATCAAATGAGGGGGAAAAAGCAATATTTGCCGAAAGCATTTCTTCAAGCTCCACTAGTTTTGGTTCGTGTTGTGTAACACTCTCTCTATATAAACACATATATGTATCTACACATAAATATAGATTTATGTCCGTATATGTATATAAAGATTGTTACGACAAACACGGCAAATCAAGAACAAATCACGACAGAAAAACAAACACGCCCCACACAAAGAACACAAAGATTTACGTGGTTAAGCTTAAAGCAAGCCTACATCCACGGTGAAGATTCGGCAAAAGATTTCACTATGCAAAAATCAAGAGATTACAAGTTTCAGCAACCAAACCCCAACTCTCGCTCTCACTGTCACTCTCACTCACTTTCCTGCTATTTTTAGTGCTCTCTTATTACCCACTCTAAAACCTAAACGCCCTTATATACTGAGCTACAAGAGAGTACTAAACAAGATCCATAACCTGCAAGCGAAAACGGATCAAGAATTCCTGGTTGCAACCCGAGCCAAAACAAATTTCAGGCCACATCATCACAACTCTTGCTTTTTCATACCAAATTTTTTCTCTTTTCATCATAAGCTTTTTCTTAAAAATTGTGCTATGTTTTCAATATTCAAACCAAACACCAGAAAAGAAGATAAAGAATAATTTTTCATTTTACTCGGAAAAAAAATTTATGTAGAAAATGTTTAACCACCAATATTTTACATTGAAACAAATGGAGCCTAAAGACTCAAGCTCGCGCTACCTTGTGCTTATTCGTGTGACGTTGCCTACACAAATTTTTCTGTATTGCTGTTTTGTGATCGAAAACAGGTATTTTTAAGTTTTACAATTTCTTTTTTACTCTTCTAAGGTTAGGTAAATTGGGATAGTTGGCCTCCAACACCTAGAAGAGCTTGGGTAAAAAACAAATTAGTATACAAAGAGGTTCCGGATATTAAGAAAGAGGCTGTCTGGCTATATGTAAGTGGGCAGCGCTCCTTAAAAAATGTATGTATTTGGATTGTTTATGGTCTGAGGAGACCTTTTGATTTATTAACAGAATTTGTGGTGTTTTTGGAATTTTTTATTGTCGTGTGACAGATTATAACAGATTTAGGGTCCTCGACTGTTAATTCTCTTAGCTCAAGTTCTGTGGGTGATGGTGCCATTTTTCCCACCAACTCATCAAAAGATCCAAGACTTTAAATTGCCACAGTGAAGTTGGATAGTTCTAACTATTTTATTTGGGCACAGTCTGCCAAGATGTTCATTGGTGGCAAAAGCAAGATTGGCTATATTACTAGTTCTGAGAAAGAGCCAGTTGAGTCAGAGAAGGTATATCCACAGTGGTTTGCAGACAACGCTGTGGTTATGTCTTGGCTAGTCAATTCGATGCAACCAAACATAGCTGTTCGCTATATGTTTATGAAGACTGCTAAGCAAATTTGGGATTCAGTTCAACAC